TTTTTTTTTACTGCACAATCCTCTCTTCACTTTTAGGGCCACATCGGCACCACAGCTACAAAAAAGATAGACGTCTACCTATCAATGCAAATGACTCAGGAGAAAGTACATCCAATGACAGTGGTGACCATTGCCAATGCCCGTGTCCATGACCTCATTGGACTTATCTGTTGGCAATACACAAGCGAGGGACGAGAACCCAAACTCAAGTGAGCACAAAATGGCTAAAGAAAATAAAACTGCTACATTTCACAGGATGTCTTTTTCTTTGTAACACACTTTTTCTGTCTCTCTATATCCAAATCCTTCCACCACCACATATCCAACAGTGAAAATGTGAATGCTTATTGCCTTCACATTGCTGAAGATGATGGCGAGGTAGACACTGACTTCCCTCCGCTAGACTCCAATGAGCCAATACACAAGTTTGGTTTCAGCACTCTGGCCTTGGTGGAGAAATACTCCTCCCCTGGCATCGCTTCCAGGCAGTCACTGTTTGTTAGAATGTAAGTATGAAATGAGTGATATATCACTTATAACAACAAATGGTGGAAAGCTGATAGAGTTGTCTAATTATAGATATTTACATAAGTCTTGCTAGGACTAAGATAATGATTTCCATCTATGAATAAAACTACAAAACGCACAAAAAAAAGCACAAAATGACATAAACAACCAGTTTGGCTCTGTAGGTTCACAGTTATCCAGGTCATGGTAGCCTTAAGAGCTAAACAGGAAGGCAACTCGACTTTAAGCTTGTTTTTTTTTGTTTGTTTGTTTTTGTTTTTGTGAAGATGATTCACCTCTCAAACAAGAGGTTTCTTCAGTTTTAAAAGTTGACAGCCAATGTATTTAAACAGTAGTTGGGTTGTCCCATAGGAGGTGATTATTGACCCACTATTAATCATGTGCATAATCACATAAGTTGTGAAAAAAGGCATGGGTCATTAGCATCAGGATTTTGGGTAAAACCACTGTGAGACCTTGTCTTGTCCTGTCATGTGACCTATCAAGGTCACCTAACGCAACTTGAGTTTAGAACAACGGTTAACGGTTAGACTGCATTCCCCTTTTTAGCTGGTTGCATGGTGATGTTTTGTTCTTTATTTAGAGATTTAATGGCCTTTTCTTCAATTGTGATGTTGGATGGAGATGGTCTTGCACTGGAGAGGATAGCTGAAAGCTTCATCCTGATTTCCTCCGGTTGTTAGCAACAGAAACAACAATAAGCATTATTAAACTATGAGGAGATTCACTATGGGCAGCTGCTGTGGAGTTATGGTAGAAATGAGACCTTTAGCTAGCACATCCTTTTCAGGATTCACAGTAAAAAGAACCCACTCCTTATCATACAAAATGACTACACTCCTTAGTGACAGCAATATTTATGAAGTCTTAAGATGAGACACCACAAGCAACTTAAAAAAAAAGAAGAAAATAATCAGTTGGCTACAACAGCCTGAAAGGGAAAAAGCCATTGTCTACATTTGCCCCATCAATGCTATACCCTGTACATATGGACTTCCGAAGATCCACAAAGGAGTCGCACATCTTGCGTTAGGTGATCTCAGTAGGTCAGAAGATAGGGTGAGGCAAGGTCTCACAATGGTTTCATGCAAAACCTCTGGTGATAAGGGGTGATAGGAGGTAGTTAAACCGTTGCCTAAAAAGCCATCACCTGACCCTACTGTTATTGTGCCAAATCCACTTAGCCAAAAAAATGGATTGGACATCAATTGTAGAAACGATAGTCTTTATATAAGGCTTCAAAAAGGGGAATGTACAACAAATAAACTTCTCGACATCAAAGCAACATATAATGGCTTCCCGAAACTTTCTTTGCTAGTTAAACCCAGAGTAACTTTTGTCTACCACAAAGGATTCTGGGAAACGCAGTTTTCTGATGAAAATACCTGTTAAATGCTCCCCTTTAGCAGAAAATTAAATCTATAATTAACAGCTCTCACTAAACATGTGGCTAACACTTAAATCACTTACAAAATAACCAAAATGCTGTTATCAAACAATAAACTGTAATAAAGTTACAACAACTGTCTTAGCTAATTATAGGCAAATTTCCAATCTTCTTTCTGTCTAAAAAAATTCTTGAAAGAGTAGTTGTAAAACAGCTAAGTGATCATCTACAGAAAAATGGTTTATTTGAAGAGATTCAGTCAGCTTTCAGAGCTCATCATAATACAGAAACAGCTTTGGTGAAGGTTACAAATGATCTTTTTATGGCCTCTGACAGTGGACTCATCTGTGTTTGTTCTGCTAGACCTCAGTGCAGCATTCAATACTGTTGACCATAATAATGTATCACAGCAATTAGAGCATGCTGTAGGTATTAAAGGTACTTCAGCAGTTTGAATCATATCATATCTAATAGACTAATTTGTTTATGTAAACAGGAAGTCCTCTTCACACACTAAAGTTAATTATGGAGTTCCACAGGGTTCTGTGCTAGGACTAATTCCGTTTACATTATGCATGCTTCCCTTTGGCAGTATCATTAAAAGATATCCAACTTGAAGGAATGGCTTAAAGATCTGAGGACCTGGATAACCATAAATTTTCTTTTCACAAATTTATATAAGACTGAGGTTATTGTACTTGGCCCTAAAAGTCTTTGAAATATAGTATCTAACCAGATGCCGACTCTGGATGGCATTACCTCAGCCTCGAGCAACACTGTGAGGAATCTTAGACCCTTTTTTTTTTTTAATATGAGCATGTTATTCAATGCTTATATTAATCATGTCTTAGAGTGATGCTGACTTCTTTGAATTCTAAGCTGGGCTACTGTAATTTCTTATTATCAGGATGTCCTATAAACTGATGTAAAAATCAGTTAATCCAAAATGCTGCTGTAGGAATACTGACGGGGACTAAAAAGAGAGAACGTATTTTTTCCTATGTGGGCTTCCCTTCATTGGCTCCCTGTTAAATCCAGAATCAAATTTAAAATCCTTCACCTCATACAAGGTCCTGAGTAAACAGGCCCCATCTTATCTTAATAATCTAATCCCATCAATTAAGCCCTTTGCTCTCAGACTGCAAACATACTTGTTGTTCCTAGAGTATTTAAAAGAAGGATGGGACGTAGAGTATTAACTTCCAGGCCCCTTTTCTGTGGAATCAGCTTCAAGTTTGTATTTGGGAGATGGACGCCCTGCCTGATTTGGCGCTATATAAATAAAAAAGCATTTAAATGTTTCCAGTATTAAACGATGTTAGGGTGTGCACAAGTAAATTTTTACAGGCTGATTATTTTGTGCTGCATTAAAATAAATATTTGGCAACAGGAAGGCATTTGTATACAACAGTAATAATGTTTAATTGCTAAAAGTAAGGTCTATGATAATAATTTCTCCAAAAACTATTTAAAGTAAAATGTTCCAAATAAAGTAGTTGAGATTAAAAATACATGAGGTGGCTATTCAAAACAAACAACATATTGAAGCTTCCTGCTGTTTGCAAATTGAAAGCAGAACACAGTAGATTATTTATTCAGATTACAATCTTGTCTTCGTGTCTTCAGCTTAGCAGTTTGTGCTAGCACAAAAAGCAGTACTCTGATACTCGGATCTTATTGCTATGAAACAATCAGAACAATTAAATGTTGCTCAATGCATTCTTAATTATTTTCTATTTTTCTATTTTAGAAATGCTGCTCATGGTTTTTCTCTAATTCCGGTGGACAATTTGAAGGTGACTATGAAGGAAATTCTCCAGAAAGCTCTCAAGAAGAGGAAAGGTTCACAGAAAGGCTCGGGTAATGATGTTTGCACCATTTATTCCCTTCTCTCTTTAATGCAAGGAAGACAGTGTGCTGTCTTTTTATGATCTGTTAATCATAAAAAGACAGTGTGCTGTCTTCCTTGAATTATCCATAAATATAATCCATAAATATAATCTTTATCCATAAATATAATCTCTTTTGGATACATTTGGCATAATTCTACATCTTTGTATTTTGTGTCTGAAAATAGTTTTTGGCATGTTTTACTATATACCTCACATTGCTAGATAAGGAGTGATTAACCTACAGACTGCCTAGATTGTAACTTGACTTTCCACCCCGAGTGCCTTGTACAGATACAGGCCCTTAGCAAGCAATGGGTGGCAGTTATGAGAGCTGAGTGTCAGCCATTTTCCAGTCACTTCCCAGATGCTGGGAGTCCTCCCTCCTTCTCCTGGGACATCTCTGCTTTCTACTATGAACACACTTTTCATTAAGTTGCAGAATGTTACCAAGTGTGTGTATGTGAGGATAGCATGTCAGTGATGGAAATAACTGTCTTTTTTCATCAGCAAGAGTTTTGTTTCTGAGAGACAGTAATTTTATTAACTGCGTTTGATCTAAAGAAGTCAAACCAAAGAAGGTTCACATTACAGGAATTCGGAGGAGACAAAAGGAAAGGCTAGAAATTTAATAATACATAGAATATCTGGGATCTTAAAAGGGAAGTTTGGTGGAGTAGAGCTGCAGTGACCCTAATGACACTGGTCTCTAATTAGTGACAGCAACCAGTGGTTGTAGAGCCTAAAACGTTTCACTTTGAAACTCACCTTCTAAAATATGATTTTGACACATGAATGAATATGAATTTGACAATTTTACACATGAGATACGCAGACTTCAGGAGGAGTTACAGTATCTGATTAGTCTGAAGGTCACGGGCAAAGGAGGATCCCAGATTATTTTGGATATGCTTCTTTTTTAAAAAATATATATATTTATATATCTACAGTTCCAGTTGTTACCAGTAGCTTTCCTATTAGTTAACATTTCATTCTACTTGAACAACTGCAGCACAGTCATACAGTTAGTCTGGCACTAGTTTGAAAGTAACAACTAAAAACAAGACCCAAGGTGTTAAAAAATAACTTTCTCATAAGAGTTTTGCAATATCAATAAAAGTTGTCAGTGCTGTGTTGATGTAAATACTCTTCTTCTCAAACAGGGCCCTTGTATCGTCTCGAGAAGCAGACCGAGCCAAATGTAGCAGTAGACCTGGACTCCTCACTGGAGAGCCAGAGTACCCTGGAATTTTGCCTGGTCAGAGAAAACAGTAAGTGATCTTACAATGACTGTTGTCATGAGACCTCTAGACAGCAAACCTCTTGCATGGACTAAGTAAGGTACATAAAAAAGTTATTATGTTTGGAAAGATAAGTGTCTGGATTTCTTTAAGTTTCTTGACGACATTTCACCTCTCATCTGAGAAGCTTCTTCACCTGGCTTCTACACACCTTGGCTTGTGTGATTAGGCAGAGGACCCGAAGAGGGTCCATAACCCTTTTGGGGACATTCCCAAATAGGGCTTAAAATCTGGGACTAGCCACCAATTGCTCTTAGAACTGAAGAAGCTTCTCGGTTGAGAAGACCTCTTCAAGAAACTTAAAGAAGTCCTGACGCATATTCTTGATGTCAGAATATGTCAGGTGTGTTGTACAGCTTGCTTTATGTCCTTTCATATGATATAGTACTCGATATGGTTTCTTTAAAAAGAATTTCACGGCCAACTTTGACCTTGGGCACTAACAGGAAGGTCGAGGTCAGACGCTTAGCCAACCTAGGTACTCATTATCCCCCAAGTCATACTATACTGTGAATTTTAAAGTCAATTCATTAAAAAATACAAAATGTAAACTGATTTTCAGATTTGGTGTGATCTTGATGTTGACCCAACCTTGACCCAGCTTAATAGCTGGGTCAAGGTTGGGTCAACATCAAGATCACACCAAATCCAAAATGAAATCAGCTGGAGCTATTATTGTTATCTACCGTCCCACAGAATAAAAAAAAAAGATATTTTGAAAAATGTGGACGCTAGACTGCAAACAAACAAACAAACAAACCGCTTACATATTTCCTTCATTCTGGAAGAGCAACATCGAAGTTTTAGTATAGCCCCTGCCCTTCAGGGGTAGTTGCACTTTCTGAGTGCTCTTGTTTTCTTTCTGTCTTCAGGCTCCAGAGGTGAGGAGAGTTCAGAGGAAGACCCTCCTATTGACATCACCACAGTCCAAGACATGTTGAGCAGTCATCACTACAAGTCCTTCAAGATCAGCATGATCCACAAACTGCGTTTCACCACAGATGTCCAGCTAGGTACAAACTGCTTGATGCACGTTATCTGCTTACAATTTGTAGTCAGTATTTTTTAATTAAATTCATTGTGTGCAGCTTACAAAGATTTTTTTAATGGATGTTTTATGATTATTAATAATTGAAATACAATGGGTCCCTATTTCTCGACAAAGAATGATGCATCTCATTTTTAGTGACTTTTGAATAGCAGCTGTATTGGCTACTAATTTAAAAAGAAAAAACACTTTTTTTTTTAATTCATTGTTTAAACTTGTAATAAAACAACTAGAGGTAACAAATAAAAAACAAACAAATGAATTGAAAGAATTTATTGCAATTATGCAAGTTTGCATGATGGAATAAATTAGCAGATCCTCAATGTGAAGATGAAGATGCTCAGGTGGATGGTGGGCTTAACCCGCCTGGATTGTGTGACGAATGAAGGTGTTCGAAAATGACTCGGAGTTGCCCCAATCGAAAAAAAGATGAGGGAAGCGTGCCTACGGTGGTATGGACATGTCATGCGCGCTGAGGAGAATTTGGTGTCAAGAAAAGCCCTCTGACTCGACCCTGGAAGCCGATGACCGCGAGGAAGACTGAAAAACAAAAAACTAAAATTAAAAAATGCGTGGCTACCACAGCATTCTGCAGCGCCAACGGTGAATGTGTATCATGTATGAAATACATTGACCATCATGTTTTACGTATGGGTATCTCATCAGGGATTTCAGGAGAAAAACTGGAGATTGATCCTGTCACCAATCAGAAAGCCAGTACTAAGTTCTGGATTCGGCAGAAACCCATTTCCATTGACTCGGACCACCTTTGTGCTTGTGACCTTGTGGAGGAAAGAAGCCCTAGTGAGTGGAGCACAGAAACATTAGGTCACCCTGCACATGTCAACACAATATTCATGTACTTAAACTTTCGTTACCTTTAAGGTTTATTTTGCTTTTATCCATTTATCTACATCTACACTACTCAAAAATTAAAGGAACACTGAGTTCCTTTTCCCAGAAGTCAGTTAAACTTCTGGTATATTGATCTGGTCAATTTAAGTAGCTTACGGGGTTATTGATGCATTTCAGCTGTTTTGGTGTTAATGAAATTAATGAAAGGTGCACTAGAAGCCACACACGCCAAATCATACTGACATTCTTGTTGACATTCAAATGGTTTCATCTCCTGCTCCTATCCTGCAGTCAGCCCAGAATGGTTGTTGGACAAGTTTGTTGTATCATTTTTGTCTAATGAAACATGTTTTTCCTTTTTGTTTTACAGGTCATGCAATATTTAAACTCACTTATCTCAGCAATCATGACTACAAGCCTCTCTACTTTGAGTCTGATGCTGCTACTGTCAATGAAATAGTGCTGAAGGTGAGTTTGAGCTGAATGTCTGTGCTGGAACACATTTCTGTGAGGACAAAGATTTAACAGTTTTGATTTAGTTAGTTATTCTAATACCTGCTAAATATGGCAAAGCAGGAGTGGCAAAAGAAACTAAGCAGATCAGAACAATCTCTGCTATGTTAAAAGAATGAGTGTTTACGCAAGTACAGTTTAATGTACGTATTTCCCTTGATGATTTTCCTTTTGTTGGTCAGCTTTGATTAGATTGCAGTACCCTTCAACTCGTTAAAATGACTGCATCGTTTTTATTTTTAGATTTCATCAGAACGATGGAAAGTAGCTCTTTTCCAATGTGTCACCATCAAATGTGAATGTACACCATGAGTACAAAGAGACTCGCATGTCTGTAGTTGCTGATGTGTGACACTCTTTGCAGAGATGCTGCACACAGGCAGTGCTTTGGAATATCATGTTTCATGATCCAACAGGACAAAACTAAAACTTATATCCTCGTGCAGTCGGTGAAATGGCTCAATGAGGTCCTTGCCAGTGTGCTCTAATGGAACATCCATTAATAGGAAAGGGCATAAAGGTGACTTTGGAAAGGCTAGTTGGTGCTATTTAACATTCTGAGCAGGATACACACAAGCAGTGCTCTCTTCAGATACCCAGCCACTAGAATTGGGTCATAGTTTGGTCCAAAGTTTTTAGCATACCATATGCCTCCACAATTATTTCCCACCAAAAACTGTTCCTCTTCAGTGCGAGTGTCAGGACTCAGTTGATAAAGTCTGTCCCTTATCTCTCCTGTATCTTTTGTGCTATGGACACTACATATTCATAGCTCTTGTTAGTACACCTCCAAACATTGCTCTACCAACTTATTAAACCTGGGTCAGTCAACTAGGAGCTATTTCTGTTCATTTTGCCTGTGTTTTATGTCCACTAATCACCGTGGGATATTTGTAAACGTCACCATGTACTCTTCAACCCACTCTGCTTCCGCCAAAGCCCCAGGGCAAACCAGGTTCTGTTAAATCAGCGTCTGTGTACAGCTCGAGTCAATCAATGCCGGTTGTGTTATAAGGCTGACCACATGGATCAGGTGGCTGTCTGCATTTCCAACACTTCTGGACTGATGTGTGCGTGGCTTCCTAAGAGCTGGAAGAAGTGCTTGTAACCTGTAGGTTCTGAGGAGTGAAATGCATGAATAAAGGGTTAACGAGAGTGCCGTTTGGTAGCTTTGGTTGGGTTGATGGGGCAGCAGGTAGTTTTCTCTTTGGTGCTGGCACTGATTCCTGCAACCTTCAGCCTTTTAGCATAGGCAAAGGGTTAGTCCTCTGCTTCCAGCCTAGAGCTGCTGAAGCAAGGGGGAAATAGCTGAACCAGTCCAGCAGATCTGTCCTTGAAAGTAAATGTTTACTATGACTGCCTGTATCCTTTCCATCTTGTTTGTGCAGTTTGTGACTATCAAACTGTGTGATTGTTGGGATTTGAAGAAATGAGAGCAAATTATGCGCTTTTGTTTTATGCCGCTAGAAACAAAGTGCGTTAAGATACAATTTTAAAATGGATTCTTTGTTAAGTTGTTATGTGACAGTGTTTAATCCCCTGAGTTTGAAACACCTTCAGCTAATACTGAAGACCAGTTATTAAAGAAAGAAAGAAAGAAACAGCAGAAAGTCTGGATCCTTGGAAAGAAGATGTAAAGAAAAAAGGGGTGGCTCAATAATTTTTCACAGTACTGTAGTGCAGTGTTTGAAATGCAAATGAATGCATCACACAAATCTTTTAAGTCAATTCATAATTAACGCCAGTTTTTCCCAATTTTTTTTCAGGTAAACTACATCTTGGAGTCCCGGGCCAGCACCTCCCGTGCTGATTACTTTGCCCAGAAACAGCGAAAACTGAGCCGCCGGACCAGCTTCAGTTTCCAGAAGGAGAAGAAGACTGGGCAATAGACGGGCTCCTCTGCCACCTGTCAGTTCA